AGAAAGAAGGAAGAAAGTAATTTTTAAAAAATATTTTTTTCATATATCCTAGAGTAGAAGAATATGAATATCCAGCACAAAGAAAATATCCTATAAGTTTGCAGAGAAAAAGTAGATTTCATACAAAGGATCACAGATCAGAATGGCACTGGGTTTTTTAATAGCATCAGCAGAAAACAGAAAAAAATGGAGTAGTAATATGTTGAAAATTCTGAAAGAAAGACTTTGTGGTTAAATTAGTAATAAAAATTAGTAAATGTTAAACACATGATAAAAGCAGGTCAGTTTATTAACTCCAAGGAAAACAACATGTTGTGCTGGAAAAGAAAATAGTAGTGTAGTGTCCTATCTAGCTCATATGATAATAGATTTACAGTCAGAATAAGGCATATAATGAATACTGATCTGATCAGAATTACAAATAACTATATTGGAGGGTATGAATGGGGGGAGGAGAGGTATGTGAATGCATTTGGGGGGGGGTTATGCGGGTGTTTGATGAGAGGCTAAATTCTCCCCTTCCATAATGACAAATCACTATGCAATGTGCAAACCTGAAAAATCAAGAAGTAGCAATATAAGCATGTATTTGCAGAAAATACAGTAAATACCTAAAGGATGGAAGGCAGCATCTCTGGGACTGAAATGGAAGAGTGGGGCCGTGATTGGGGCAGGAGCTTCAGGGAATTGTTGATTTTCATAATAAACCTTGCAGAATGTTTTGACCTTTGAAATCATGTGCATGTATAACTTGATAAAAATTAAAATTAAATTAAAACTCTCCCCTGTGATTAGCAGCCTCATACATAAATCTTTTAGATCTTTTCATTTATTTCCTTAGGATAAATTCTAGAAGTTGGCTGCTGGGTCAACAGGCGTGCATGTTTTCAAGACCTTATTATCCACAGTGGGAAACAGTGTGCCAATCTTGCCCCTTCCAGAAGTATAATATGAATCTTTATTTTCCAGTCCCTGCCAACACCTTTATCAATTTTCACATCTCCGCCAATTTGATGTTTTAAAAGAGGTATCATACTGTAGTTTTAATTTGCATTTATTTGACTACTAAATAGTTTTATATAGTTAACATATTTAACCATTTTTAGTTCTTCTTTTATTAATTTCCTGTTGCTGTTCTTTGTCCATTTTTATCTTGGAGTGTTCATTCTTTTTCACTTTTGATTTGTAAGTGCTCTTTAAATAGCAAGTCTACTTGTTCTTTGTCTATCACACATTGCAAATATTTCCCCCCACATCCTTCTCTTTTCAATGTTCTTTTTCAATATAAGAGATTTTTTGATTTTATGTAGTCAAGTCTATGTTTTATGCTTTTTGCCTTTGGGATCATGCCTGGAAAGCCTTGGCTCCACCATGGCTTTTTACAAGGACAGCATTTCTCACAATTTCACCTATTCATATATGGTATTTTATTGATTCTGAGTTTTTCACATTTTATTTATTTATTTATTCTTTGAGACAGGGTCTGACTCTATTACCCAGGCTAGAGTGCAGTGGCATCATCATAGCTCACTGCAACTTCAAATGCCTGGGCTCAAGTGATCCTCCTGCTTCAGCCTCCCGAGTAGCTGGGACTGCAGGTGTATGACACCACGTCCAGCTGATTTTTTCTATTTTATTAGTAGAGACAGGGTGTCTCTATGTTGCTCAGGCTGGTCTCGAATTCCTGGCCTCAAGCAATCCTCCCTCCTCAGCCTCTCAGAGTACTAGGATTACAGGCGTGAGCCACCGCGCCCGGGCTCCCTAGTCTTAATTCTGACTCTAATCTGAATTCCTCTGGACTGGAGTTTAGTGTTTTATCATTAGTATGATGTTGGTTCTTTTTCTTTTTTTTGAGACAGGGTCTTGCTCTGTCGCCTGGGCTAGAGTGTGGTGGCTACAACCTCAAACTCCTGGCCTGAAGCAATCCTCTTGGCTCAGCCTCCTGAGCAGCCAGGACTACAGGGGCATGCTACCACACCCAGCTAATTGATCTACTTTTTGTAGAGAAGGGGTGGGGTTGGGTGTTGGGGGGCGTCTTGCTCTTGCTCAGGCTGGTCTGGAACTCCTGAGCTCATGCAGTCTTCCCACCTCGGCCTCCCACAGTGCTAGGATTACAGGTGTGAGCCATTGTGACTGGCTTGATGTTGGCTCTTGATTTTAGATAGATGCACTTTATCTTGTGTTCTTTTTAAAAATCACATCTTGGTATTGGAGTTATGCTAACTGTGTAAAATTAATTGGAAAAATTTTAAGTTTTCTAAGCTCTGGGAAAGGTTACATAGCATAGAAATTAACTATGAAACTTTGACAAAATTCACACCAAGAACTGCCCGTCTCTTTCAGCAAGAGCATAGCTTTAACAAGCTTTACTTCTCTTTTTCAAATTAAATTTTGCTGTAGACTGAATTGTGTTTCCCCAAAATTCATAGGTTGAAGCCCAGCTAGCCTCCAATGTGACTGTATTTAGAGATGGGTCCTTTAAAGAGATAATTAAGGTAAAATGAGGTCACAAGGCTGGCTGTTCATGCAATATGACTGGTGTCCTTATAAGAAGAGAGACATGCGGGAGGCATGCACACAGGGACGAGGCCTTGTGAGGACACAGCAAGAAGGCGGCCGTCTGCAAGCCAAGGAGAGAGGCCTCCGGAGAAACCAAGCCTGCCAGCATCTTAACATCGGACTTCCAGCCTCCAGAACTGTGAGAAATAAATTTCCGTCATTTAAGCCACCTAGTCTGTGGTATTTTGTTATGGTATTGCTAGCAGAGGAATACAACTTTTATTGTTTTTTTTTTCTTTAGTGGTAAAACATAAATAATAGAAAAAGAAAGCCACCCATAATTCTACTTCCCAGGAGTAACTGTTGGTAAAACTCTGGTATGTATCCTTTCACATATTCACTCAGCTCACATTCACATATTTACTTACGTAAGTGGAGGTCATTCTCTCTATATACCAGTTCACAATCTGCTTTTTACACTTAATAATATGTCATAAATATTTTCCATGATAATGTATCTATTTCATTTGCATATACTTATTTTCAGATTCCAAAAGTAACAAATGTGCATTATTAAAAGTTAAAATGTTATGGTAATACAGAAAGTGAAAGTTTTCCAATTGCTGCCACGGCCTTTTTTATGTTTTCTACTCCTTTTTGAGTCAATCTTACAGCTATTTATTTTTATAACAAATTACCCATTTTATACATCTTTCAAATTTATTAATCTAAAGTTATAGTCTTTAAAAAAAATCTCCACCACATTTAAGATATATCACCTTTCTTTGTCTGAATGCAGAGAGAACCACCCAAGGGGCTCATGGCACAGTTCCCTCCACCTTCTCCCCCTTCCAGTGTCTGCCCGTCCTTCAAGGTCCTGCTAAGACTCAGCCTCTTCCCAGGAACCTTCCAAGTGATCGGACAGAACCAGTTTTGCCCGTCCCTGTTCCTACACACTCCTATCTCCTCGCCCAGAGGCGGCTCAGGCAGTGGAAAGAGCAGGCGGGGCTGGGCTGGAGTCTGGGCCTGGCCGCTTTTCTTCTCTGGGACCCATTATTTAACATCTGAGTATTAATGCTGTCCCCTGTAAAATGGGGTAACAATTGTCCCTACCTCTCAGGGTTGAGGTGAGAATTAAACGAGACGCATCATGAACGGTCCCTGGCCCTTATTACTACATTTCATGTGAGTGTGCAGGTCCCGGCCCGTCAGCTTCCAAAGGCAGGGGCCAGAGCCAGGGCGTCGGTGCCCCCAGGAAGCACTGGCTAGAAATCTGCAGAAGCAGCCCTCACAGAGCCGGGCAGGCGGGCAGGCCCCTCCCCACAGCTGCTTTTCCTTCCCTGGGAGAAGACCTAAGGAGCGTGGTAGGCCCAGGAGCCTCCGGGCAAGGGCGGTTCCCAATAATTCAGAAAATGCTTCTGCTCAAACAATTAAAAATAGAATCGTCATATGATCCAACATGTCCACCTCTGGGTATATATACTCAAAAGGACTGAAAGCAAGGTCTTGAAGAGAGATTTCTGTTCGTAGCATTATTCACAGTAGAAAAAGGTGGAAACAACCTGTGTCTATGGATGGGCGAATGGAAAAACAGGACGTGCGTGGCACATACATAAGTGGCATAACATTGAGCCTTAGAAAGGAAGGGAAGTCTGCCGTGGGCTACTATGGGGATGAACCTTGAAGACAGCAGGCTAAGTGAAATAAACCAGTCACGAAAAGACAAATACTGTAGGAGTCCACTTACATGAGTCACCTAGAAGAGTCAAATTCATAGAGACAGGAAGTAGAGTGGGGGTTACCAGGGGCTGGGGGAGAACAGAGACGGGGAGCTATTTACGGGAACAGAGTTTCAGCTCTAAGATGAAAAGGGTTCTGGAGGTGAATGGTGATGATGGTAGCACAACAACGTGATGTACTTACTGCCACTGAATTGTACACTTCAAACTGGCCAAAATGGTAGATGTTTTATGTGTATTTTATCATAATTAAGAAAAAATGGGCTGGGCACAGTGACTCACACCTGTAATCCTAGCACTCTGGGAGGCCGAGGCGGGTGGATCATTTGAGCTCAGGAGTTTGAAACCAGCCTGAGCAAGAGTGAGGCCCTGTCTCTACTAAAAAAATAGAAAGAAATTAGCTGGACAACTAAAAATATATAGAAAAAAATTAGCCGGGCATGGTGGCGCATGCCTGTAGTCTCAGCTACTCGGGAGGCTGAGGCAGGATTGCTTGAGCCCAGGAGTTTGAGGTTGCTGTGAGCTGGGCTGATGCCATAGCACTCTAGCCCGGGCAACAAAATGAGACTGTCTCAAAAAAAAAGAAAGAAAGAAAGAAAGAAATGCTTCTGGGGACTTGCCCAGGCTGGGGGTTTACGAGCCTTCAGCTAGAGAACTGTGCCCAGCGGGCACCGAGGGCAGAGCCCTGGCTTCTGAGCCCCCAGCCTGCCCCTCTGTCCCGCTGGTGACCTTGCCCCATGCTTGCACCTCTCTGGGCCTCACCTGTGAAAGGCCAAACAAGGACATGGAGTGGAGGATGTCCAAGCTCCTCTGGGCTCTGATGAGCTGAGATGAGAATTAGAATGAAAGCCTGCGCTTTGAAAAAAGCAGATAGAGAATTAAAAATACAATCGAAAATCACGCTCACTATTCCAAGATTAAAAACATTCTTTAGAAACTGGGCTTATTAGACGACATGCTTCCTGCATCGTGCGGGAATGGGGGGAGCCAGGTCACCAGCACTCTCCGTAGGGGGCAAGCAGGTGAAATGATTATGAAATATGTCAAGTAAATGGTCCTTTTTTCTCCCCAGGAGATAAGGAAAGGTAATTTGGTCTGTCAGTCGCGCACACAGAAGACGTCATGGTCAACTGCATTAATACTGAATACTTTGTCCAGAGTCACAGAGCTAAAAGAAATTACAGAATCTTTCTCCTGTGAATTCTGGCATGACTCTCAGCAGACCTTTCCCCACCTGAATTCACAAGAGAGATTAATAATAAAAGGCAGGGCCGCTAGTGGGACCCAGAGCTGCTTTTCCCTCGCATTTGGGACCCCTTCCCCCAGCCCACTGGTCCAGCCTCATCTCTCAACACGCCCTTGCCAGTCCTGTTTCAGCCACACAAGACCCTGCTGTGCTGTCTTGAGAGGCCCACGCCTCCCTGCCTCCTCCCCTATTGGCACCTGTCAAAGCCACCTCCTCTGGGACACCTCCCCCACCTTGCCTCCTCTCTGCCCCCACATGCTCACTTTTTGCAGTTGTCATGGGGATTTTGTGTCCTTTCCCCAAACACCCCAGACCTCCCCAGAGGAAAGACCCACCCCCCACCCCCGCAGGCCTCCCTGCAGCGTCCAGCCTGGGGTCCAGCACTTGGTGGAGGAAGCGGAGTGAGTGAGGTCTCTCCAAGCCTTCTCTTTTATAATCTAACAAAAGGGTAACTGTAGTAGATCTTTTCTTTTCTTTCTTTTTTGATGTTTTGAATAGGTGGTGGTGTGAGGGCTGGGAGTGGACGCCGGGACGCTCTCTGAGTCCACTGTCACATTGCGGAATCGGTGGCTTGCACGAGACCGTCTGCACGCCCCTCTCTCCACTCCTGCGGGTGGACAGGGAGCCCCCGCTCAGGGCCCTGGTTCCGTGGCTGCAAAGACCTTCTTCCCTTTTCTGCTTCTGGGGACTTGGTGGTCTCTGGGACAATTAAACCTCTTTTGATGTGGCTATATTCCCTCATGTAATAAGCACTGCATTATTTTTAGACTGTTTTACCCAATTAATTTCATTATCAGTTAATTATGTATTAACATTTTAAGAAAATGAATATTTGCCCAGTTACTTAAATGAAATCATTAAATATGTATGCATTCCTTTCTTTAAGTGCACATCTGCTATCTCCCGCAGATGGAGAGGATGTGTGTGGCGCTGTCTGAGCCCCCGAGACAGGCCCTGTGCAAAGGAGCCTTCGTGGCCCTGTGGGCAGAGCTTGCATGGGGCTGGGCGCCCCCCAGAAAGTGAGGCCCACAGCATGTCAGAGACCTCAGCCTGGGGGTGACAGGGAAGGGCCACTGTCCTAAGGACCAGCTTGGCAGAATTTGGGGAGAGGGGTGGTGGGTGCGACCAAGAGCCAAATGTATGGTGGTGTGTGAATGTAAGCAGCACCTGGAGATTAAGGGCTTAAGAAATAAACCTCCTGCGTGGAAATCAATGCGTGATTCATCCGCACTCCTCTGTTCATTGCAACCCTATTCACAACCGCCAGAATATGGAAGCGACCTAAGTGCCCATCCACGGATGAATGGATACAGAAAATGTGGTGCATATACACAATGGAGTACTATTCAGCCACAAAAAAGAAGGAATCCTGTCCTTTGCAGCAACATGGATGGAACTGGAGGTCATTATATTAAGTGAAATAAGCCAAGCACAGAAAGACAAATGTCACATGTTCTCACTCCTATGTGGCAGCTAAAACAGTGGCTCTCGTGGAGGTGGAGGGTAGATGGTGGTTACCAGCTGGGAATGGGAGGAGGGGAGGGAGGATGAAGGGAAAACAAAAAGGAATATAAATGTATTTATCACCACTGCACTGTACACTTAAAAATGGTAGAGATTTATGCTTACATATTATATATATATATATTTTTCCTCAATAAAAAATAAATTAAAAATGGGGAAAAAATCAGCCTCCTCTTGCCACCTCTGGGTGATTTGGTACAAAGGTCCCCAGAGATCAGCACACCCAGCCCCGTGGTGTGGTCACACAGGCCCTTCCTGGCCTGACACACGGTGAGCCTGTGAGCCACCTAGGAGCCGCCCCCAACTCCAAACTGCATAGTGAGGGCAGGTGCAGGCCGAGGCCGCCGCACCAGGCGACAGCAGCCCGCTCCAGGACTCACGGTCAGGGGAGGGACGCCAACACTTGGCATGCCCTGAGAAGGGAGATGCCCAGTGACCATCTACACCGGGGGCACTAAACCCAGTGCCTATTTTTGTGTGGCTCAGGAGCTAAGAATGATTTTTACATTTGTAAATGAGTCAAAATATGAATAATATTTTGTGATACATGAAAATTGTAAGAAATTTCAATGTGCATAAGTAAAGTTTCGCTGGAATACAGCCATACTCGTTCATTTGCACATTGTCTGTGGCTGCTTTTGCCACAAAACTGCTCTTGCTACTCAACAGCAGGTGCGTAGTTGTGAAGGAGACCACATGCGTGGCCTGCAAAGCCTACAGCATTTACTCTCCGACCCTTTACAGAAAAAATTTGCCGACTCTGACTCTACAGTACTTTTCTATGGCAATCACGAGGAGAATTTTCTTAATAACAAACTAGATGGGGCATCCCAATTGCTCATTGTAGTGAGATTTGATTACAATCCACTCAATAAACACCTAAGCACTTTCTTGGCTTGGTACTGGAGAAACAGTGATAAATCAGATCTAGTTCCTATCCCTGTCTGATGAGACAGGCATGTGTGTAGGTAAGTAAACTGCAACACAGAGGGATGAGGCCCATGCATATATTTTTACAAGATTCTTAGAAGTATAGAGAAGGGAGTGATTGGCTCTGCCCGGGGAAATCAGGGAAGCCTTCTGAGAGGAGGTGAAGACTGAGCACTGTACTGCATTCAACTGAAAAGATTGTGCACTGTGTGAGTCCAGGGGTGTCCCTTCCTGTTACACAGTGTGAACCTGCACAGTTGTACATGGTAGACCTATTGAGTGGGCCTTCAAGGACCCTTGGTTGCAAGTGAGGTACCTAACTCTTTGGAGCTTAGGCAATCAAGGCAATTACTAGCTCTTGAAATGTAGAAGTCTAGGGGCAGCCACGCATGGCTGGATGCACGAGCTCAGGCAGTGTTGTTGTCAGGGCCTTATCTCTCACTCCCCATCTCTTGGCTCTGCTTGGCTTTCTTCTTTCCGTGAATTCTTTCTTCTTTCTTAGTGCTGGTGGTGGGCAGCCAGATACACGACCTCACAGCAAGACTATTCAATCTACGGAACCCTCCTTTCTCCCATGGACTAAAATAACAATCCCAGAGAAGAATTCCAATTGGCTGTTTGAGTCACATGCCCACCTCTGAACCAATCACTGTGGTGAGGGGTGGGGCACAGTGATCTCTGGGATCCTCAGAAGGCCAAGGTTGGAGCCACCATGATTGACAGCCTCATGGTAGGGGAGGAGCAATTCTCCCAAGGAAATTTGCTAACAAAACCGTATACCTACTATAAAGAGTAAGAAAGACCTCTCCAGGCAGAATAGGCAGGAAGTCTGTAACCAGAACATTGCCAAAAATCCTACTCCCAGGGCCTCTTTGGTGCCGGATGCCATCATGAGCAGTGGCCCCTAAGCTGTGCTACTGGGTAACCCTGCCCAGGTCCAGTCTGTGAAGACTGTTGACCTCTGAATCTGACTGGGGGAAAGAAAGGAGGCACCCCCTCTCCACCTCATCTCTAGGCTGTTAGAGATCAAAGGGTGCTTGGAGTCCACTTATTTGGTCCATGGAGCTTTTTAAGAAAGATAACAAGAGCTCGTAAGCGAGAACACACACAACTTTCTTTTAAAACCTCCTTTGCTCAGCTGCAAACCATGGGAATTAAATTTGTGTAGTGCATTTAACAGACAATGAACATTGAACAAGGTCACAAATACATGTTGGGATTACAAGACAAGACACAGAACAGAGGCCAGCAATCATCCACAGCCTTGTGATGCTGCCTGGCACGTGTCGCCCGTGCCTGGATACACAGATCTGACATCGCCCTGCCCGTGCGGTGGGGCGGCCGCTGGCGCCGGGCCCCTGCTCTGCACACGACGATGTTTCTTAAGGCGGATCACTCCAGAGAACAAGACAGATGTGCCTTGTGCTTTTCTTATGTATTTAAAAATACATTTAAGAAAACTGTCACTGGCATCTTTTTGGCTTTTAGACCAGAGCAACATCATTTGAGAGAGACTGTTCTAGTCTAACCCTCCAGTTTTATAGATGGGGAAACTGAGGCCCAGAGATGCAAAGTGACACTTTTTTTTTTAAGAACTGGTCTCTATGTTTCCTGGGCTGGAGTGCAGCAACTATTCACAGGTACGATCATAGCTCACCATAGGGTCGAACTCCTGGGCTTAAGCAATCCTCCTGCCTCAGTCTCCCCAGTAGCTGAGACTATAGGTGTGTGCCAGCACACCCGGCTTGGAAAGTGATTTCAACAGCCAGAACTCAGAGTTGGTCTGAGAATCCTGGTCTGACACATTTGGATTTGGTCTGATGAGGAACTTAGCAGGATCTGCAGGTGGCACTGCTTCTAAGGGGCACAATTTTCTCACTTAACCTTGGGTTTTTGATTCAAGGTGCAAAACCTTGCTTTTCTTGACCTCAAAGTTTAAGGCTTTACCAAGTTGTTCATGTAAGTGTTTTGTTTTTGTTTTTGTTTTTTTTGAGACAGAGTCTTGCTTTGTTGCCCAGGCTAGAGTGAGTGCTATGGCATCAGCCCAGCTCACAGCAACCTCAAACTCCTGGGCTCAAGCAATCCTGCTGCCCCAGCCTCCCGACTAGCTGGGACTACAAGCATGTGCCACCATGCCCGGCTAATTTTTTCTATATATATATTAGTTGGCCAATTAATTTTTTTCTATTTATGGTAGAGACAGGGTCTTGCTCTTGCTCAGGCTGGTTTCGAACTCCTGACCTCGAGCAATCTGCCTGCCTCGGCCTCCCAGAGTGCTAGGATTACAGGCGTGAGCCACCGCACCCAGCCCATGTAAGTGTTATTAAATAAAAATTTTAAACAAATTAAATGTGGGGCATGCATATTTAACAATAATCTGTGGAATGTGGTACATCTATGAAAAACTTGATTGCTATCAAAAATGGCAGCTGTGAAAATTAGGAGTTAGGGCCGATTAAGGGCAGTGATTGATGCTACAATTACTGGCCTCCCTGTCTCTGTGTCCCTACCCTGAAATCTGTAGTCCCTTCCAGTCTGACTCTGGGCTGGTCTTGCGGCTCGCCGTGACCAGTAGAATGGGATGGAGTGTGGACACGTAGCGCAGTCACCCGGCCGCCCAGGCCATGACCTGCCATGTCATGTGAACGAGGCCACCTTAGACCAACCAGCGAACCCACCGGCTGACCACAGACACATAAGCAACCCCAGTCGAGATGAGCCGAGCCTGGCCTAGACTTGACCATAGATTCATGAGCAATAATAAATCTTGTTCGTCTTAAACCACTCACCTTTGAGTTGGATTGTTATGCAGCAATAGCTGATGGGTACAGAGGTATTATTGAGGGGGGGAGGACACATGCGGGAAAAGCAGGATAGAAATATCCATGGACAGCACGATCCCTGCCATGTGATGTGGCAGTAACACACACAGCAGCTCACACTCTGGGAAAACACCAGGCGGAAACACACCAGATATCTCAGGTATTAAGAGATGGTTGGGGGTAATTTCATTTTTCCTTTTCTCTCTTTTCCAAATCTCCTGCAATGTTCTTAACATTAAATAAGGTGCAGGCCAGCCCCACTCAGGACTCCCATGTGGAAGGCAGCACGTCAGCTTCTCCTTCTGAGGATCCTACCCCATCATTCGAGCCACCATCAGAACAAGCCCCTATTGTGGCTGAAGACCAGGTGCCGACACAAAAAATCATTGATTCACACACTGGCTCCGTGAAACGAACAAACCTAAAGCGGCCTCTCTTCCCTGCTGCACAGTACTGGGCACCGATAAACTCAATGTGTTTTCTCGCCTGGATGCCCTTGCTGGCCACCTTGCTGGCCTGGCTGAGGGAAGCCAAGTCTCCCACCTGTCCTCCGTGTTATTTCTCCCCTTCCATCTCAGCAGTGCACATCCCCAAATCTTACAGGCTCAGGGCTCATCCTGCGTCCTCCGGGAAGCAGCTGGTCTCCCCAGGCCGAGAGGACTCTCCCCTTCTAGAACTTCTAGAGCTTCTAGAACTTTCCTTGGGTCACATCCAGTCTCCTTCCTACCCTGTGGTCTTCACACCCACATTTCATCTCTTTGTCCAAACTTTGGGCTCAGTGAGGACAGGGTCGTCACATACCGTTCATGTTGGCTTCCCTCACTCCCCCACCAGGGGCTGTGACAAAGCCAGGAATAAAGGAAAATTCATATATAGAGAAAAATTTGGAGATTACCACTACTAACCTCTTGGTTCCTAAACGAGGAGAGAGGAGGAGCCTGCATTTGGTGGGAAAGCCAGAGCTGGAACTCACACCTCCCCAGCTGCGTCCGGGATCCCCCGGCAGACGCTCAGCCTTTCCAGCCCCGCTGTGGATGGCAGGGGCTGGCGTGAGGCAAGTGGCCGTAGGGGAGACGTTTAAGGAGGCCTGCCGAGTGTGGGCCGTGGCTGTTCTGTGCGGGTGCACGCCTGTGACTGGACCAGCGCCCCCATCCTGCGGCAGAAAGCCCAGTCCTTCCCGTGGCGCTGGAAGCCGCTGTGGCACTGTCGCAGTGGGAGAACTGGGAGAACACGCACTCAGCATTTGGGGCAGCTGCCTTTGGGGGCGAGTGGCGGAGAGTGGCCACCACTGTGTGCCACTGGCGTGAGGTTGGTTTTGCTTTACTTGTCGTGGTGGGCGGTCATGGTGTCCTTCCTCCCCCGTCCCCTCCCAAACACCTTCCCACTGGGGTGGGTCCCACACAGGTGGACATGTCTCAGGACAGTAAAATCAGGAAGCCACACGGTCAATCCCTTCAGGAATGGAGGTTAGACACTTAAAGATTTTCGAGTATCAAAGGAAATTTCTGTCTCACCTGTTAAACTGACAGAGCCAAGTAACGATTTTAAGTCTGTCACCTCTTCAAATGCCTTCAGCATTTCCTAGGAGAATTATTTTCTTTGTTAGCAGGGGGTGCCCTGAGGAGAGGAGAGGGGTGGCCGGAGGCTGGGGTGGGTGAGAGGAGGCAGGCAGGGGCTCGGGGGAGTGGCGGGTGGGCTAAGGGGCATGGGTTTCATTCCAAGTGCCACAGAGAGCTTGTCCCTGACCCTGCGACTCCCCTCCCCCTTCCCTCCGTAGGGTTTTCTCTGCCACTGTGCCTCTGTGAAGGGGGCAGTGTGACCGCCACCCTGGGCCCGGGAACCGGGGGACCTGCCGTGCTGGATTAAGACTCAAAGACTCAGCAGGGCTGTCCAGGGCAAAGCCAGGGCCAGTGGGAGGTCATGGGAATGCAGAGTCCAGCGCGATGGAGGAGAAAGCTTTCTCATAGTCAGAGCCGCTCAACGAGCACGGCGCAGCCACTGTGGAAACAGTACGGCGGTTCCTCAAGAAACTAAGCTTAGGCTGGATGCAGTGGCGCATGTCTGTAATCCTAGACTTTGGGAGGCAGAGGCAGGAGGATCACTTGAAGCCAGGAGTTCAAGACCCTGTCAAAAAAAAAAAAAAATTAGCTGGGCATAGTGACACGTGCCTGTGCCTGTCCCAGCTGAGGAGGAGAAGCTGAGGCAGGAGGATCACTTAGCCCAAGAGTTTGAGGTTGCTCTGAGCTAGGATGACACCACTGTACTCTAGACCAGGCAAATAGAGCAAGATGCTGTCTCAAAAATAAAATAAAAATGGTCCAGCAATTCCACTTCTGGGTATATACCCAAAAGAATTGAAAGCAGGGACTCAAACAGATACTTGTATATCAACCAGTGTTTATAGCAGCATTATTCATAATAGCTAAAAGGTGGAAAAAAACCCAAGTGTCCATCAACAGATGAATGGATAAACAAGATGTGATATATACATACCATGCAATATTATTCGGCCTTTAAAAAGATGGAAATCTTGTCACATGCTACAACATGGATGAAAATTGGGGGCATTAAGCTAAGAGAAATGGAGCTAGACACAAACAGACAATACCATATGAGTCCACCCATATGAGATACCCAGAGTAGTCAAACGCATAGAGACAGAAAGTGGTGTGGTGGTTGCTAGGGGCTTGGGGGACAGGGAATGAGGGGTTATTGTTTGATGAGTAAAGAGTGTCAGTTTGGGGAAAAAAGTTCTGGAAATGGGAAGTGGTAATGGTCGCACAGCAATGCGAATGTGGTTAATGCCACTGAACTGTACACTTAAAAATGATTCAAATGGTAAATTTTATGTTTGGTATATTTTACCACAATATTATAAAAAGCTGTTTGATGGTTCCTTGGGCTGGCTTGGGAAGTAGTGATCTGTCTGTCAGTGGAGGTGTGCAAGGGAGGCTGGACACTTGCTGGGTGCTGGGGAGGGTGCGAGGATCAGGGAGGGGGAGGTCACCCTGTGTCGGGTCAGGAGAGGGACTGACAAGAGTGGTTGGCATTTTTGAAGCACTTACTGTGTGCCAGGCTCTGAGCTAAATGATTTGGATGGTTTCTTTCTCCCCCGGGGCCACTGAGGCAGGGGCAATATTATCCCATGGGACTGACACAGCCCCCGAGAGCATCAGTCATTGCCACCCGCCCAGCTCCCCTTCCCCGGAGGACGTGCTGCCCAGCGGCTGGGCAGGTCATCAGCACATGGCCTTCAGCAGCCAGCCCTTCAGGATGGCCTCAGCAGCATAAATTCACCTGGCCCAAGGTCACGGGCTTCCCAGGACAGCCCACATCTGGTAACCCACCAATGTGGTGGTACAAAGGCCTGGCCATCTCCACGTGAAACTACAACGCAGCACCTTTGGAAGGACATTCTAGCCACCAGGCATCCCCATGGGGTCAGTCCCAGCTGCTAAGCCACGGGGGCAGCTAGACTTTTCCCTCTGCCCACTCCCACCCCCTCCCCTCCCTTGCCCAGGCATTGGTCCCAAGGGTCCTCCTCCCTAAACTCCACGTCAGGGCTGGGGACCCCACCTGCAGCGCTCATCAAGGTCACCCCGATGGGCAGTGGTGGACCTGGGGCCAGGGAAGAGCTTGGGACTGTGTCAGTCAGAGAGGCTCTGCTGACCCTCAAGAGGGCTGGTCAGCGCCCTGGGTGGCCCTGATCCCTGGCACCCAGCCAGTCTGAGGACCCAGAGCCTCAGAGACCAGGGGTGAGTGTGGCTCATGCTTCTCTTATCCCACTGCCCCTCACATAGTAGCAGAACCACACCACGAATGACACCGGAGCTCAATTCTCACAGCCAGCCCCGCCTGGTGACGGCCTCTTACACGTTTAACTTGGGCCTGCTCCTTTGGGAACTGTAATTTTATTCATGGAGATTGTGCTGTCTAATTTGAATACAGAAAACTGTACTTAAGAGATACAGTGGCTCAGATGGTCTCTTGTTTCTTTCCTCCTCTCGGGCTTCTCGGCCCGACCTGGCCGAGGGCACGCTGTGTGCCAGAGGTGTGCAAGGGGCACTGCCACCACCGAGTGGAAAAGAACTCCGGTGTGGATGCACAGCACACAGCACTGGGCACCCCAGTGTCAGACATTCCAAGTGCTGGGCACAGAGATTCACACCAGTTACTTGTCTGGACTACCCCATCCTCATTTTTCCACGTAAATAACAATAGGACGATTGGAACAGGAAGGTAGGTTTTCTTTTCTTCCCCAAGAATGGGATTATATGAATTGTAATTTTGATTTTCACTTAGCAACACACACTATAAATAGCTTTCCATGTAAATTCATATTTATAGAATATATCACATCAGTTAATATATCAAAAATATTAGCCACACCTTTAACCCCAAGCCACGCACAACACAGAGGCTAAAAACACTGTTCTCCTTCTTCAGGGCCCAAGAGAGTTGTGCAGAAGCACGGTCCTGTGCACACTGTCGTGGCTGCCTCACTGTCTCCCACATTGTCCCCTGGGCCTCCCTGGGGGAGGACGCCGGTAGGTGGGAGGCTGCTGGGGGCTGAGGGGATCCGCTGCCACCTGCAGAGAGCTCTGAGCCCGCCTTAGCTGGGCAATTTGGCTGCCACTTGGGGAAGAGGTTTCTGAGCTGTGTGTTTTGTTGTTGATAAATCTAATCACGTTTGAGTGTGAATGGGAGTGTATGCATTTAAAGAAGAGTCTTTAAATGGGTATAGCACTTGGCCATAAACACATCTGCCTTTAGGCTGGGAATGGAAATGCAGCAACAGGAGGAAGGAAAGGAAGGCAGCTGGAGAGCTGTGCTTGATGGGCAGGGGGCTGCCCAGATGTGCTATGGTAGAGAAGACTGCGGAGGAATGTGAGCAACTACAATTGTGTGCAGGAAGTATGACATCACCATAAAACAATGAGAATGATGGGGCCCATGGGGCTCTATGAAGAGATACACAATGTTTACCAAATAATGTTGAGAGCAAAAATGGGCTCCAAACAACCTGCACACATTGTGACCATCGTGTGCAATATTGAGTGTCGGCGGGTGTGTGGAGGGATGGATAGAGCTGGGCTTGCAGGATTATAGCTCTGCTGCCCATACGGCTAAGTGAACAACCTGAATATATACTTTAGACTTGACCTCAAGTCCCAGTTGGGAAGTGACTGAAGTTGGCAGAGGGGGTGGACAGGAGAGACCACTCAGGAGGGCAGGGAGGCCTCCCACAAGGGCTGATGTGGCAATGGGGCTTTGGGGAGGACATGAGCTCTCCACTGCCACAGATGTGTGGGCCCATGCCCAGTGACAACACGGCAGGTGGTCCCAGCCTGGGGGTTCTCTCCCTGTGATCTTAGAATTCAGTGCTCCAGCTCCTGAAAGCTGCTTGCTGGGAGCTGTCTGCTCCTGAACACACAGGCAGGCTTAGACAAGCGGCTCCTGAATGAGGCTTCAGAACCTACTCCTGCTCCATCCCCCTGGTAGGGGTGCAGCTCTGCCTCAGCAGCAGGCAGAACACGCAGGAAGTGGGGCTTGGCTGCCAGGCTGGTTCATTTATAGAAAACCAGGCTTCAGATATGGGTAGCTGTGGAGGCCAGGACAGAATCACGTCTGAGCTGGAACAGTCCCCACACATCTTACCCTCTGCACAGAGGGGGATACTGAGGCCAGAGGAGGGATGACATGTCCACAGACAGACAGCTAGTCCAG